CATCTTTGATATTGTTTTAATCTTACCTTTGCACCATTTATAACATTTCTGGTATATTTTTAAATGTTTATTCAGTAGTGAACTGTTTATTGAAATGAACAGAATAGAGGAAATCATCTCTAATATACATTATTAAGGTATGAATACTGGTCAGAGAGCCAGTCGTAAGTCTGAGGCATTGGTAAACGAGTACGCCGCTAAGTGAGGAGAGGCTGTAAGATGCTCCTCATTTAGCGATGAATTTGTTTATTGACGCTGTATTAAGAATGGAACTCTGTTGTCAGGTGAGGAGAGGCTGTATTATTATTATTATTTTGCCCGGTGTCCAGACAAACTCTTGTCCACCGCCGACACCGCCCATAACACTACATGAATGACATATTTTATTCATTTTAGAGTATATATCAGGTTTCTATGTTATTTATATTATTTATTATATCATATTAGATGAAGTGAGATAGATAAATAAGCCGTAGAGTTGGTATTAGCGAAATTATTGAAGTACAGAATTCCACTGGAATGGATTAATTGCATTTCAATTAATTTAAATGAGGAAAATTGACTCTGCAAACGAGCAAATCCAGTTGCAAGCAAGGTCATGGAATGGATTAAACTCGCAAGTAGAGGTTCCACTGTATTAGCAAAACACCGTAAAGCAAAATGACATAAAGCAGCGCCCTGCTGTATTGAATTATTGGTGAATAGGTATTGAGAGTTAGTGTCTGATATAGCATTACTTACGTAGAATTTATGTCTATGTGCTTTACTTGGTATAAAGATGGTGTCTTGTCAGTTATCTGCAAGATGACTGACAAGTGGTATACTAGTTTTAGGTACAGTGGTAGTATACTAGTAATAGGTACAGTGGTAGTATACTAGTTATAGATACAGTGGTAGTATACTAGTTATAGGAACAGTGGTAGTATACTACATATAAGTACAGTGGTAGTGTACTACACACTTGTAGGTTCAGTGGTTCTATACCACACACATATAGGTACAGTGGTAGTATACTACACACTTATAGGTAAAGTGGTAGTATACTACATGCTTATAGGTACAGTGGTAGTATACTACACATAGGTACAGTGGTAGTATACTACACACTTACAGGTACAGTGGTAGTATACTACACACTGGAGAGAGAAAGACGCTCCCACTACAGAAGACGACGAAGAATCACTGAGCTCCTCAGGAATGCTAGAGTATCTGATACATGGAAGGAAACGCTGACCATGGGAGTGGAAACTATCGAACTTAAGTTAAAGGACTCTTACAGGAACCAGGAGAGACAGGAAGAGCTAAAAGCTATTAGTGAAATTGAAAGAAATTCAAAATACTTCTTTTCATATGCCAAAAACAAGGCAAATACCACATCTAGTATCGGGCCCTTACTCAGACAGGATGGGACTTACACAGATGACAACAAGGAAATGAGTGAAATACTGAAATCCCAGTACGACTCTGTGTTTAGTGAGCCACTACCAGTCTGAGGATCAACGACCCAAATGACTTCTTCATGAATGAGCCTCAAAACTCCATAAATGTATGCCAGATTTCCAACATTACCCTAACTCCGATAGACTTTGAAAAAGCCATTGACAACATGCCCATGCACTCAGCTCCAGGCCCAGACTCGTGGAACTCTTTGTTCATTAAGAACTGCAAGAAACCCCTCACATGTGCCCTAAGTATACTATGGAGAAAGAGCTTGGACATGGGTGAAATTCCACAGTCACTTACAACAACGGATATAGCCCCACTCCATAAAGGTGGCAGCATAGCATTAGCTAAGAACTATAGGCCAATAGTTCTAATGTCCCACATCATAAAAATCTTTGAAAGAGTACTAAGAAGCAGGATTGCAAACCACCTGGATTTCCAAAAACTGCACAATCCATGGCAACATGGGTTCAGGGCAGGTCGCTCCTGCCTCTCACAACTACTGGATCACTATGATATGGCCTTGGATGCACTGGAAGAAAATCAGAATGCAGATATTATATACACAGACTTTGCAAAAGCGTTTGACAAGTGTGATCATGGCATAATAGCACACAAAATACGTACTAAAGGAATAACTGGTGAAGTGGAGAGATGGATCTTTAACTTCCTAACCAATTGAACACAAAGAGTAGTGGTCAACAGAGTTAAATCGGAGGTTGCCATAGTGAAGAGCTCTGTTCCACAAGGCACAGTACTTGCCCCCATCCTGTTCCTCATCCTCATATCAGACATAGACAGAGATGTAACCCACAACACCGTATCATCCTTTGCAGACGATACTACGATCTGCATGAGGCTGTCATCTATTGAGGACGTGGTTAACCTCCAAGAAGATATAAACAAAGTTTTCCAGTGGGCAACAGAAAACAACATGATGTTCAATGAGGACAAATTCTAACTACTCCGTTATGGAAAACTGGAGGGAATAATAACTAGAACAGAGCATACTACAAACTCTGGCCATACAATAGAGTGGAAAAATAATGTAAGGGACCTGTGAGTAGTAATGTCTGAGGATCTCACTTTCAAGGATCACAACAGTGCCACGATCACAAGTGCAAAGAAAATGATAGGATGGATAATGAGAACGTTCAAAACGAGAGATACCAAATCACTTGTTCTCTCTAGGCTGGATAAGATAAGATAAGATAAGATTTCGTTCGGATTTTTAACCCCGGAGGGTTAGCCACCCAGGATAACCCAAGAAAGTCAGTGCGTCATCGAGGACTGTCTAACTTATTTCCATTGGGGTCCTTAATCTTGTCCCCCAGGATGCGACCCACACCAGTCGACTAACACCCAGGTACCTATTTGCTGCTAGGTGAACAGGACAATAGGTGTAAGGAAACATATCGGAATTTCCACCCGCCGGGAATCGAACCCGGGCCCTCCGTGTGTGAAGCGGGAGCTTTAGCCACCAGACCACCGTTCCAAGCAGGTGAAACTACTGCACATATAAGTTCTGTCAAGCACCTTAACCACTGGGAACGCTTGGAAACACTTGACTTGTACTCGTTGGAATGCAGGAGAGACAGATATATCATAATCTACACTTGGAAAATCCTGGAAGGAATGGTCCTGAATCTGCACACAGAAATCACTCCCTACAAAAGTAAAAGACTGGGCAGGCAATACAAAATACCCCCAATTAAAAGTAGGGGCACCATTGGTACACTAAGAGAAAACACCATAAGTTTCCGGGGCCCAAGACTGTTCAACAGCCTCCCACCAAGCATAAGGGGAATTACCAATAAACCCCTGGCTGCCTTCAACAGAGAGCTGGACAGATACCTAAAGTCATTGCTGGATCAGCCAGGCTGTGGTTCGTACATTGGACTGTGTGTGGCCAGCAGTAACAGCCTGGTTGATCAGGCCCTGATCCACCAGGAGGCCTGGTCATGGACCGGGCCACAGGGGCGTTGATCCCCGGAATAACCTCCAGGTGGGTACAGTGGTAGTATACTACACACTTTTAGGTGCAGTAGTAGTATACTACATACTTGTAGGTACAGTGGTAGTATACTACACACTTGTAGGTACAGTGGTAGAATACCACACACTTGTAGGTACCGTGGTAGAATACTTCACACTTGTAGGTGCAGTGGTAGTATACTACACACTTGTAGGTACAGTGGTAGAATACTACACACTTGTAGGTACAGTGGTAGAATACTACACACTTGTAGGTGCAGTGGTAGTATACTACACACTTGTAGGTACAGTGGTAGTATACTACACACTTGTAGGTACAGTGGTAGAATACTACACACTTGTAGGTACAGTGGTAGTATACTACACACTTGTAGGTACAGTGGTAGTATACTACACACTTGTAGGTACAGTGGTAGTATATTACACACTTGTAGGTACAGTGGTAGTATACTACACACTTGTAGGTACAGTGGTAGTATACTACATGCTTGTAGGTACAGTGGTAGTATACTACACACTTGTAGGTACAATGGTAGTATACTACACACTTGTAGGTACAGTGGTAGTATACTACACACTTGTAGGTACAGTGGTAGTATACTACACACTTTAAGGTACAATGGTAACATAACTCTTAGTTGTAGTCAGCTATGGAAATTTATGCTACAGTATTAAATTCCTTACACCTTGAGGAACCTCTTAATTTCTCAGTCCCAAAACAAACTTTCCCATTTCCCAATGACTTAGATTCCAAAGTTTTGACATTCTCCTGTACCAACACCTATTTTCACGGTGATTCTAAAGTAAATAGTGATATCTGCAACACTTGTAATTTTTAGTGCACATTCTTGTTGCTCATACTTTCAGTAAAAATTTTCTCATGTGAGAAGTTCACACAGTGGAACTTTTTGAAAGATTTCGCAAGTGAGAAAGTTCATACAGTGGAACTTTATATAATAGATCTCTAGCCTATATGGAATTTTATTTATATGTTTTCACTAAATACCAAAGTTAAAATAAATTTGATTTTAAGCTTCTCTTATTAAAATTTTCATTTTTAAATGAAGTGAAGCTTGTTACAGATTAATTGCAAAAATACAAAATTAAATCTTATAAAAATGGTTTGAAGAAATACAGAAGCTTCATTGACTAAATTATAAATACAGTTACTATTGTACATAACTAAAGTAACATGAAATAAACATTTTTTGGAGGATAAGAGTGTGGCAGAGAAGTATTATTTAATATGGGCTCCATATATAATGGCAGTTAAGATGGGAGATTTTCTAATATCCCAAATGTACTGTTTTACTCTGTGTAATCACATATACTTATTGTATTGTCTTTATAGAATGTGTTTTATGTGCCATTAATGTTGAAAGTCATTTTGTTCATGGAGAGTTTTGTGATTGAAGCCTTCTAAAGGTAACTAAAAACTCCAGCAGATTATCTAAAGAATAATCTGCCCATCAGTTCCATTGTTTGTGTAAATTAGAATTGAAAGCTATAATATTTGGTTATAACGACTTAGCATTAACAATTATCACATTATACCCCTTCAGCCCTTATCCCCCAAAGCCGAGGCAGAGATGAGAAGAGCTCGAGGTGCTTCTCGCATTGACGAGGAGGACCTTCAGTACATCATGGAGGAAATAGTTGAACACGCCTTGGAGGGAAAAAATATGGGAAATGATGAGAAGAAGGTCAGGGTAGGAGCCAATGTGAGAGATTGTTTGAGCACTCTCTCACACACACCATTCTCATCATCTTGTCTTTTGGAAACAAGAGATGAAGATAATGAGAACAAGGTCTTTTTGCCCCTACCTGAAAAGGTAAGGTTTCTAATTTCCCTTACTAGTAAAATACTGCCTTCTGTAATTTGTTGGTCCCCCTCCCCATCCCAATGCTGGATGGTCTTACTGTGGTGATGGGGCTTGAGTAGCTTTTGCTCGGATTGGTGGGGGCCTCTCTTATTTTGGGAGAGGGGCCACTTACCCCCTCCCCGGGTGCTTACCTGACTATGAACCCAGAAGCTTTTTTTCTTTTTCTTAAATGGTGGGAATTTTTCACCATTCAGCAAAATTTGCCTGTGTAGGAATGAGAAAGGAATCGGTGTCCAGGTTTCTTAGTGCTAAAAGCCAGTTGCAGTACTGTGTTGACTTGCATCACCGAAAAGTAATTGAATTATTCATTTTAACCCTTAAACGATCCAAACATATACAGTGGTCCCTCGTTTTTCGTAATTAATCCGTTCCTGGAGCCGTTACTATAAATGAAATTTACGATTTACGAATCAATTTTCCCCATAAGAAATAATGTAAATACAATTAATCCATTCCTGACACCCAGAAGTATTAAAACCAAAAAATTTTTTACATGAAATATACATGTAGTACATAAACAATACAATGGGAAATGATGAATGAAACATTAACAGCATAACACTTACCTTTATTGGAGATTCTTCTTAGTATATGGGAGACTGGAGGAGGAGAGAGATTGGATTGTTTACAGTTTGGAAGGGAAATCCCCTTCCAGCAACACCTCAGGTACCCATTGCTTCTCTGGGGTTGCTTCTCTTCTCTGTTTCTTAATGCCACTAGGACCACCTTGAGAGTCATTCTAGTCCTGTCTCGCAAAGTAACTGAGGAGAGAGAGCTCTGTTTCTGGCGTCTCTTTAACACTTCCCTAAAATGGCCCAAGACTTTGTCACTGTACATATTTCTCACCTTCTTTACCACAGGCTTGGCACTAGGAGCTTTCTTTGGAGCCATGGTAGCTTAGTACTTGCAAGCACTAAAATGAGTGGAATATTATGAAATATTTCGTAGGAGCACTTGAGGGGACCTTCACTCACTGGTAAACAATGCCAGACTGGCTGGGTAGGGAGGCCTCCCCGGCTCACACCGTGCGTACGTGTCCCAGATGAACTACTATTCGCGAGTCAACCTATGAAAAGCGAGTCCATGTTTATACGAAAATACCCCTATGATTGGCGAAATTTACGATTGCCGAGAACTACGAAAAGCGAGGGACCACTGTATATACGTTCACTCGCGCAGCGCCCCGAACATTTAAAAAAAAAAAAAAATCATAGAAAAAAAGAGCACATTTTTTAAGTGTTTTAGAATAAAAAAAATTAGGCTCAGTACTTAGAGATATGAGGCAGAGAAGTTGGCACTGGATGCTCATGTGACGGCAACATGGAGTCCTGCCGCTTGCAGTAGTGTTGCCGATATACCTTTTATTCTATTTTTCATATTATTTTATATAATTTTTATGTTCTGATAATTACAATTTATAGTAGTTCTTGTCATTTCATAGCCAATCTTCGTTCTGACACTAGTACAGTGAACCCCCGCTTAACGATCACCTCCCAATGCGACCAATTATGTAAGTGTATTTATGTAAGTGCGTTTGTACGTGTATGTTTGGGGGTCTGAAATGGATTAATCGACTTCACAATATTCCTTATGGGAACAAATTCGGTCAGTACTGGCACCTGAACATACTTCTGGAATGAAAAAATATTGTTAACTGGGGGTCCACTGTATTAGGTACTGAAATTGTACTCAAATTGTCACAAAGACATTGACAGGTGGACATTTACACCTGCCTTGGTCATTTACTATTGTCTTGGAATATAAACAAAGTATTTATAGGTCCCAGGAATGTTTTGGATATGTGGAAGTATATAATAATAATGAGGAGGAGAAGGAGGAGGAGGAAGAGGAGGAGGAGAAGGAGGAGGAGGAGAAGGAGGAGGAGGAGGAGGAGGAGAAGGAGGAGGAGGAGGAGAAGGAGGAAGAAGAGGAGGAGGAGAAGGAGGACGAGAAGAAGGAGGAGGAGGAGAAGGAGGGAGGAAGAGGAGGAGGAGAAGGAGAATAATAATAATAATTGGTAATAATAATAATAATAATAATAAGTTCCCTTGAAGCATGAAAAGCAAAGTCCGCCCCTGACAGTGACATGATAAGAGGAGATAACATCTGATAAGAGCTGACATTTGATAAGCATACATGAGGGTGAGGGAGGGTGCAGCTGATAAGAAAAGATTAGATGACCATCCCCCTCCCTTTGTTTTTGCTGGTACATAAACATTTCTGTCTATTTGTCTGTCAAGCTCCCTGTCTATCTGTCTAGCTCATTGTCTCAGAGAGAGCCACAGGACTGCGTCATCACCTTTACTCACATCTTCAGGCAGACTATAGTACTTTGTCTGGATTTTTGGGTTATCCTAGGTAATTTATACTACATATACATTGGATCCCCGGTTTACGATCAGCTCCCAGTGTGACCAATTATGTAAGTGTATCTATGTAAATGCGTTTGTATGTGTATGTTTGGGGGTCTGAAATGGACTAATCTAATTCACAATATTTCTTATGGAAACAAATTCGGTCAGTACTGCCACCTGAACATACTTCTGGAATGAAATAATATCGTAAACCGGGGGCCCACTGTACTTGTATTTATGTGTACCTGAGAGACAGATAGACAAAGACAGATTGAAAGAGATAGAGACAGACAAAGCCAGAGACAGACACAGATAGACAGAGATAGAGACAGATACAGAGACAGATAGACAGAGACAGATAGACAGACAGAGAGACAGAGACAGATAGACAGAGATCGACAGGCCCTAAACTTGGGGTTAACATCACTTTCCTCTTAAAAGAGAAGTGTTAACATGACATTACATCAGTGAATCCTTGGTGTTTGCCGCACTGTTTGCTCTAGCTGGCGCTCAATTTAACTGGCGCTCCCACAAGGTACTAAGTGGTCCCAGATTTTTTTAATACTGCGCACACCGAATGTTAAGACCAATTCTATGCTGACCAGTCATCTCAGGCCAATCATACCAAATTTGGAGGCAGGAAAAATAAAACGTATATATACGTTTGGGGTGCTACGAGTAAGAACGTATATATACGTTTGGACCGCTACGCGTAAGAACGTATATATATGTTTGGACCGTTTAGGGGTTAAAAATACTACTGGAATCCAGGAGGGGTGTTAATGTTGCAGTTTTATAACTGTAGTGTAAGCATGCATCTGGCAAGACAGTGATGAGTGAATGATGGTGAAAGATTTTCTTTTTCAGGCCACCCTATCTTGGTGGGAAACGGCCAATGTGTTAATAATAAAAATACTAAAAAATACTGGAATCCAGAAGTGGTGATCAGGGATGTTTAATTCCAAGTGTTATTTCTTGTTTGCCCTCACTAATTATTAGCGGAATGATGGTTTTATTGTCAGTGGTGTCAGTTTTAAGGCAGTTTTGTTAAGCCTTGCTAAGTTACTTCTGAGAAAGTCCCAGTGGTTATGCTATGAGTAGCTTGGGGGTAGTTTACTACAAAGTGAGCAGTGCTGGGTGTATTGGTGGGGGTTCTCAGAGTTAATAGTGTGTCAGGTGTTGTCTACAACAGTATGAAGGCATCCTTGTATGTGGACTGCCTGTTGATGTATTGTTTGGTGTCTTGTCCTGAGGAATGACACTGTCGACTGGGGACTGTGTACATCACTAGGTGTGCTACCACAACTGGTTATTAGTTTTCTACACAAAACATAGAAGTCTATGCATTGTAAAAAGTAGTGTGTGTGTCACCCTGTCCTTCATATTTTGGTAAGTGAAGTAGTTTTCTCCCATGAAAACCAGGTGATGTTTCTGGGATTAATCTTAAAATGAGCATTGACTAGGACTACCCCCTCTCACTCTTTGCATGAAGAAACTCAAGACAGATGTGCTGCAGACAATGAACATCCTAATGCTCCTTCCCTACCACTCCTGGAGATCTGACCACAAGACATTCCTGCTGTTGTATGTTTAACTGAGTGTGCTGGTCCTGGCTTGAGTTTGGCTATCAGTTTGCTCTCTTCTGCTCTGCTTGTTGAACTTCATTCATCACTTGGTTATATGCATGTTTTGAGACTTTCAGGACTTCCAGTGTGGCAGACTTCTGTATAAAATCTGGTGATCTCTTTTGGGTGTGGCTTATACCTGACATTGTGCCTGACACAACTGGTTCTATGGAAGTGGATAGAAATTTCTCTGTCAGCTTCCCGAGGCTTTCCATGCCTTAATGCATGCTTTCCTTAGTGTGGCCTAGGTATGTCTGCTGACTATAATCCTTCAAGGTGAGGTGCATTCTTGCTGGTGAAGGGCTCTTGATATGAGGAATTGGTTTAGTGCTCCTTGTCCATGAATATAATATGGCCTGAGAGTTGGCTTCTTGCCTTGCTCTCTACATGGCTGCTGACACTGGATGAGGGCTCCCTATGTACCTGATGATAGTAATGACCTTGGTTTTAAATAGCATATTGCTGATAATAGTGAACTAAAGGTACATGTTGCAAAACATGTCTTTTGTTCTTTTGTATTTTGGGAAAACATTTTGCTCTGTGTAGAGCTTCAAGTCACACTGTATGATATGACTTGATAATTCTCTACACAAGGGAGACATCCCAGTGAAAACTTGTTCTGGGATTTGTCTTTTCTCCTGTAATGACTTTGCTACACTTCCTCAGGTATTGACACTGTTTATAAATCAAGGATTAGGGTCTTGATTAATGAGTCAAAGAGCAGTGGCAACATCAGTGGTGTAGCTAGGGAAGGGAGCAGTTGCTCCCCAATCACATTTGGTGCCTTTGCCTTTATCTCAGTTTCAGAGGCATTTGAAGCACTTAAAAGTATATCTGGAGATCTTGATCAATTGTAGAGCATCATAAGATCAAGCTGTCACCACAGGGTCAAATCACAGAATGGGTGGGGTCTAACCCTTTGACTGTTTTGGTCATATATATACGTCTTACGAGGTACCGTGTTTGACGT